ATCATCTTTTCCCATACGATTACATGTAAAACCAAATAATTCGTTCCAACGCGAAAAACATACTCAAATTAAAGCCAAGTAATACATTTAAAAAAATAACTGTAGTAAGGAAAACAAATGAAAAATGCGAACTAATGTAACGTCGTATGGTGAGTTTTTGTTCGTATCGTGAAGCAAAAATATGTTCGAATTTCATGTCGTATCCTGAAAATTTCGTATGCTGGGGCGTTCGTATCCTGAGGTACCACTGTATATTAAATTTTTGTTATGAAATATTCTTTCGTTTTTAACTTTTTTTTTGAAATTATTAGTTTAGACCCGGGGGCTATTCGGATCTCACAACAACTATCATAAAAACATACCAGTAAATTCTTATCAGTTGGGTTAAGTTATAAATCTACTCGTGATTCACGTAATCGGGCGAGTGCGGCCAAATATCTAGCAGGCGGGCGGCTAACAGCCCAGAACCGGTCCTGGATAGAATTGGATGCGATATACGTGTAGTATCCACCCAAGGTCCTAGGCTTCCACCAACTAAACTGGGTGAGGTTGGTGCTCTGTAAAGCGCATGCGTGAATCTGGCTTTTTGGATGCTGACGATACAGATCTTCCACTCCGCCACTAATATTCGAATATATAATAGCAATCTTATCTTTTTTTTCACGTGCAGTATAGAAATTTGTAATAAGATACATAATGCGGTTATAATAAAATATTATTCGATTATTTTCATATAATTAAAATGAATATGTATTTATTTTTTAGAAAATACAAGGGAAGGTGCATCCACCGCTTCCAATGACAGCACACCACTGCTGCACAGTGACCGTAAGAATTGGGAGTTCAACATTCCTAACTAGGTACAGTAAAATGCAATGTTCATTTTAATATTTACGTATTTTGTTTTCGTGTTTTTATTATTAAGGCATTTGTGTTGTTTTTACCTTAAATTATGTGTACTTGCTGTTTTAAGTTTATTGAAATGGGTATTATTGTTTTCAAAAAGGATTAATTTTGTTATTCGTCTGGGAACGGATTAATTCAATTTCCATTATTTGAGATGGGAAAATTGATTCAGACTGGAACGATTCATAGTTTGAATTTAATTCGTTCCAGGAGGCCGTTCGAAATATGAGACATACCTAGATGGTTAGATAATGGTGAAATTACATTATAACTAGTATGTGCAAATTTCTTTTAAGATATGATAATCCCCGGAAATAAAAGGTAAAAAGAAATATATTGATAGTATTCAAACATTTTAAAAATTAATTTCATAATTTAAATATATAGATAAAAACGCTAGCAGAAAAGATGAACGTTGTTTTTTTTTTTAAAAAAGCGAAAACACATTCAATTAACGGTAGCCTTTACCTATGTGCACCGTCATGGCGGCTGTTTCCTTTCTTGTTTGTTGGAATCAGGGAACAATGAAGACGCACGTTCTAACCTAACCTATTCTAATAATTTGGTAATTTATTACAACAGGTTAGGTTAGAACATGCGTCCTCATTGTTCCCTGATTCCAACAAACAGAAAAAAGGAAACAGCCGCCATGACGGTGCACATAGCTGAAAATGTCAATTGAGTAAATCTTTACCTAACTGAAAAAGTTAAATTATTTAATTGTTACAAGAAAAATTAAGAGCTTTTGTAATTGTATAATAAGTCCAGTAACTCAGTCAAGTTTCACAACAAACTTTTATTTAATTTACAAATTAGTATATTAAAACAATTCAAATCTTAAATAATAGACTAGAAGAGTAAATACATTGGTTATACATTTCTATAAAGGTTATTTAACTTGCATACTTAAGGGAAATGGTTATACAAATAGTTCTTGGCACAAATTTTCATTTCTGAATAATAAAAAACATACAAAATTGTTCAAATTGATTTTTAAAAAATTTCAGATTACAGTATNATGTATAGAATACAAATATTTAAATCAAAATTTAGAATAAAAAAACTTTTAAAAATATACAAGAAAAATGGAAGAACATATAAAATTAACACAAAAAAAAATTTAAAATAAAAATATCTCAAATCTTTCAATAAACTAATTCTAGCCTGAGTTTTTAGTGAGCTTTTTAACCATGTACTTCCACGCCGACAGCAAACTCTCAGCATCTCTCGCATTTAAACATCCCTCACGTAGCCTACTTCTATATGTCTCAATCTTCTCCGCTGTCATTGATAAAGTGGGGGAAGATACTGGTTTTATAATTGTTGCCTCGTCCCATTTCACCACCGAACCTTGGACTTGTGACATTTGCGACAGAATTATAGCATTGGATCTTTTTTTACGTTATATCTATGCTCTTTTAGTCTTACTCCCAAGCTCCTGTAGGTGACGCCAATATAGTCTTTCTTAACATCTGTTCCATCTTTGTTTTTGACCTGATGATGGCCTGTTAATCAGGCTGAAAACGTTTGTTTTCAATCATATATTTTCTCAGCAACAAATTAAGGTGATTTATTTTTATGTTTTTATTTGCTGAGCACTTTTATTGTTATGAATATATTTACAATTTTCACGATGAACACAGGATATTTTCTTCCAATTAGAATTCTTCAAAAATTAGAAGTTCAGACTATTTACAAAAATATTTAATTTTCGAATCTATCACTTAATCCTTTTTTACACAACCACAGAAGTACCCATTAGATTTGGCTTGAAGAACCACTAACACCAATGTCATACCTTCCTGAAAAGACGATAAAGCCTTGCCACCACCCATTATTCAAATGATAATATGTCTTGTCAATAGGAGTGAAGAGGGCATTAAGCCCGAAATGCATATCCTTTCTTTTAAATTATAGAAAATAAATTACTTTTTCCATCAAAAAGAGAGTTCCTGTGTGATTTGTTCCCAACAGCAACCTCTTGCTAATTCTTGTATTAATAAATTTAAATCATTTTTAGGAAATTTGAAAACAAAAATATTTAAAAACAGCCTTTGTAGCAAAATATTTAAATGTGTATCTTTACACAAATGCATATTCCTATTGCTTAGTTGAGCAAGTTTTTTGGTGATAAATTAAATACTTCCATGAGTTGTATTTACAGATTTTCCAGATTTCCGTAACCTGAGATTTGCAGAAATTTCAGCAATGTTATTTGCATTGTTCTGTTCAAACTTGCTTAAGTACTCACTTCCATTTTCTGCTATTTCTTGATTATTTTGCAGTTTTGCACACAGAAAGAAATTCCATATTGTCCACAGTACAACAAGCATAATACCCAAAAGCCACGAATATGCAACATATGAAGGAAGAGGCTTTGTTATTGTATTCCAATCAAATTTTGCAATAACAAGAAATTCTGTAATAACAACAGCCAGCATCACCCAAGATTGTCGGCCAAACTTCTTGCATTCCCTAGATGAAACAGAACTCTGATTTAAACTATGTTATTTAGTAGTTAATAATTAAAAAACATGTGCTTCTCATAAATTAGTAAAAAATTAAACATGCTATTCTTAGACATTTTGTTTTTCATAGCCTGAGTGTGTGTTTTATTTAGTTTTTTAGTTTCCAATAAGAACTAATTAACATTGAATAAATTTAGGGGCTACTCTATACATCTTAAGCTATCAAAATGTTCTTGCAATCACCCTAGCACAGGGATGTCCAACCCACAGCCCACTGCACTCTAAATTTTTTAGGTACATTTTCATTTATTTTGGTAAACTATGTTGTAAAAATTATTCTCATTTCACTGGATATACTTTCATGTTGTAATAATGTACATAATTGATGCTAGAAAATTGTTTTATCTAGAAAACTGTTATGCATGTGGGGTAGTACATACTGTTATGAACAACTCTTTTTGTGCATGGAAAATATGAAAACTGTTGAAAGAAATAGGTTGAGTAATTCCCATTTAACTAACATTCTTCATTTAAGACTAGTACCATAAAAGCAGATATTGACTATTATAAAAGGAAAGCAATGTCAAAAATTGCATTGAATTTATTTTTATTTTGTGTGAGTATAATTTCTTTTTTTTTTTACTGCCAATAAATAATACAGTATTTTTTGTAAGTAAATATATTTTTTTTCTTATTAAAATTTGATATTTACATTATGCACTTTTTAAAGGAATATATTTACATAAAAATAAAACACCTTAATTTGTTGCTGAGAAAATATATAATTGAAAACAAACGTTTTCAGCCTGATTAACAGGCCATCATCAGGTCAAAAACGAAGATGGAAGAGATGTATAGAATACAAATATTTAAATCAAAATTTAGAATAAAAAAACTTTTAAAAATATACAAGAAAAATGGAAGAACATATAAAATTAACACAAAAAAAAATTTAAAATAAAAATATCTCAAATCTTTCAATAAACTAATTCTAGCCTGAGTTTTTAGTGAGCTTTTTAACCATGTACTTCCACGCCGACAGCAGACTCTCAGCATCTCTCGCATTTAAACATCCCTCACGTAGCCTACTTCTATATATCTCAATCTTCTCCGCCGTCATTGATAAAGTGGGGGAAGATACAGGTTTTATAATTGTTGCCTCGTCCCATTTCACCACCGAACTCTGGACTTGCGACATTTGAGACAAAATTGTAGCATTGGATCTTTTTTTACGTTATATCTATGCTCTTTTAGTCTTACTCCCAAGCTCCTGTAGGTGACGCCAATATAGTCTTTCTTAACATCTGTTCCATCTTTGTTTTTGACCTGATGATGGCCTGTTAATCAGGCTGAAAACGTTTGTTTTCAATCATATATTTTCTCAGCAACAAATTAAGGTGATTTATTTTTATGTTTTTATTTGCTGAGCACTTTTATTGTTATGAATATATTTACAATTTTCACGATGAACACAGGATATTTTCTTCCAATTAGAATTCTTCAAAAATTAGAAGTTCAGACTATTTACAAAAATATTTAATTTTCGAATCTATCACTTAATCCTTTTTTACACAACCACAGAAGTACCCATTAGATTTGGCTTGAAGAACCACTAACACCAATGTCATACCTTCCTGAAAAGACGATAAAGCCTTGCCACCACCCATTATTCAAATGATAATATGTCTTGTCAATAGGAGTGAAGAGGGCATTAAGCCCGAAATGCATATCCTTTCTTTTAAATTATAGAAAATAAATTACTTTTTCCATCAAAAAGAGAGTTCCTGTGTGATTTGTTCCCAACAGCAACCTCTTGCTAATTCTGAAGGAAATACAACTAATTGAGAGAACAGTAAGCAATCAAGTATTTGTCAATAAGTATTTATTCAATACAATGGAATAAGAATAATTATGCAAAAATGTTACACCTTACTGCTTTAGGATCAAACCATTTATCATATGGATGATAATTGACAGTGAGCATTTACTGAAATACATTTTGTTTTAAAGTTCAAGCTTAATATATTATTTTACGTATTAAATAAAAAATAAACATGTAATTGACTTAGAATTCAAGTTTAAAAACTAATTTTCAGATTTAAGAGCAAAACTGTCTGAAATTAACATTTTCTATTATCTTTGAAATTAAAATTTATAGAATTTCTATTCTTGAAAAGTTACACTTCAAAGAAATTGAGCCCAATAAACTTTAATACAGTAATATTAGAATTTTTTACAATTAGTTCAATATACATAAATAATTATGAACTTTTTGAATATAAGTCAGTTAATTAATAAATTTATTGTGCAACTAGCTGTTACCCACGACTTTGCCCATGTGGATTTTGCAAGCAAACACCATTTATATTCAGTATTTCAACAACCATAGTAATTGTTATATAACACCCACCGCTGAAAATGATGAGAATTGCTGAAAATCAAACAAACTGTTTTTAATTTGATCAATTTTCTGGAACGTTTACAATTGTTCTATAATCGAGCCAATATTCAATAACAAATTCGAATTTAAAACAGTTTGAACATTTGGTTAAAAAATCAAAATATATAAAAATATTTATAACAATGTCTGAAATGTTATCAATTTAATACACCTAAGTACTCAATGAAGACTAAACGTAGTTGAAAACAAAAAAATCACATCTAAAATAGTACAATAGAAGTCGTTCTTCAGGTTAAGCCTTAATCCTTTCCCTCTCCCCATGGGAGGAAATTTAAAGAACATCCCTTCTTAGTGTGCGTTTTCATGATGTACCCTAACTGTGTACCAAATTTCACCTCTTTAGGTTTGGCAGTTTGCTCTGGGCAATGATGAATCAATCACTCAGTCAGCCAATCAGTCAGTCAGTCAGGACAAGTAATTTTATATATTTAGATTAAGTAACTTATCATTAGAATTAAATTTTCTAACAAAATTGATAAATTGGAATATGTTCTTAAAAAATTAAAAATGCTTACACATCATCCAGGTACTGAAATGTTTCTCTGACAGCCACTGCACCAGCCAAAACCATCAAGATAAGACGAACCAAGTTCAAAAAATGTGGAGGTTCTAGCCATAATACAAATTTAAGATAGAATGTGTTCAACTCAGCTACCAGCAACTTGGAAAAAATTTTTAAATGATTGAAACAATTATTTAAAACAAATTTTCTAACTTTTTACAAATCTCTACAAATACAAATCAACATCTTACTATAAATATTATCCCAAGAACAGAAAGCCATCTTGTAAGACTTGAGGTAGGTTTCCAGTCAAATTCAATCCAGCTGTGTGGTCCAAATTGAGCAGCAATTCGCTTGAGTTTTCCCTGATAAGTGGGAATATCCCAGAGACTCCTCCAATGATATGGTTTCATAGATAAATATTTCAATGTCTTTAATCCTAGATATATGCCTAATCCATTACAAACAAGAGCATCCAGAATCCACTATTTCAAAATAAATGAAACATTATTAGTTATTTTTGCAAAGGGTTTTACTTTGTCTATTTTCAAATGTAATGTTTTAAAAAAAATTTAATTTGTTTATGTTAATTATATCTAATAAATAAAGTTTGAAAGTTGAGATGCTCCTTCTTTTCATTATTTGCACAGGGGATATTTTCACAGGATGAATGAAAAGGATTTACTTCACATTATCCACTATACAAAAGGATTCTTCAAAGTACTTTAACTGAGGAAGTTTTTCTTACTAAAAAAGTGAAAGTTCAAAATAAAAACAAATTTGAGTGATTGCATTCAGATGATGATTTAAAGAAAATAAAATATTTTTGTAATACTAACATTTTTAAAAAAATATGTTGCAGTTAATCTATATTTTCTGCAGGTGAGGAATGACATAATTCTACACTGTTTCAAGTTTTAAGGTAGAAATGTTGCATGCACTGTTAATCTTCATATATGAGTGGATGGCTTCCGCCAGGAATAATATCTTGTGATTTCTTGAACTGAACAATAACTTCATATTGTCACCCTATGCTTCATAATTGAAAAAAGGAAAAATTTTACCCAGCAGATAGACATTCCAATGGATTCACCCTTATTGACAATCTTAGTGGAAATGGTTATGAGGCAATGAGAAGAACTATTTAGTATATCATTTATAATTCTATATCCCTTCTATTACCTTTTTCTCCTTTAACTGCTGGGCTGTTTTCGATATTTTTATATTTACACAAAACACTCAATTTATTTTTCTATTTCTACAATATATACTATGTCATATTTATGTAAATGCTGATATTCTTCTGGTAACTTCAAAGCCACTTTGGTTTTTGACTCTTTCATATTTAAATACCTTCAATATAAAATAGGACTTGATATTATCGAATAATCAACTGTCAACATGATATTTTCCAATATCGAAGTCAGGAAAATAAATACTGACCAATATCATTATTGACATTAACTATTACTGGTATCAGAAATTAACATCAAAATGTATAAAGTTAATTAATTTAATAATCCAATGCTAATGAACTTTAAAATTTTCAAAGAATTTCATTTTAAATTTTAAATTTGATTCCAACATTAACAGTTAAATGATTTCTAACTGATCTCCTTGGATTTCTATTCCTCTAACATTCAGAAATTTACATTATGCTTCTGACTGGCTGACAAATTTCAACTGTAAGCACTTTTGAATTTTAAAATCTTCAGAAGGATTAATTTTCAGTTTCTTGCTGTGATTGGTTAGAAAAAATTCAACTGACTAATGGTGATTTTAAGAATAGTATAAAATAAGCAGTCTCCATTTGATATCTCTACTTTCCAGTGAAGTTCTGTGCTGTTTTATCATATTGTAAGTAGTGTTTGCAAGATAAAAACTGGTGTATTTATACTCCTTTAGTGATATTTAATTAATTAAGGCATATTTTCTAGAATTGAGTGAAAATATATTAACCTGGGAGTGCACACAATGTATCAAAGATTCACACACTTTTAATTTTGAATTTTTTAAAATTACATTCCCTGTCTTTGCACTGAAATTCTCAGTATCCTATTATTATCTTCCAAGTACTTTTGTTCTTGTCAAAACATGTTTTTGCTTAATGATGGCTTCAAGTGCAATTAAAATTTATTTTGACACACACATTAGTGTGTACATAATGGCTTTGTCTAAGGATATATTCAGCCCAAACAATTCAGAGGATATAGAAATGGTTAGGAATATTATTTTGTGCAACACAAAGATGCATTAAGAGGAATTGCATGATACCTGTAACACTGTTTTTGATTTTGTGTCGAATAATTCTAGTAAATAAAAAGTCAAATTTGTAGAAACAGAATAAAACAGCAATACTGAAATGTTGCCATTTAAGTACTGTAATTTTTTGTAGTTTTTATTATTTCACTAATCTACCATGTGGGTTGTTTAAGACATATCTAAGACTAAGGATTGAAACAGAAACTAACAGTCTATTCTCATTTTATTTTCTCTCCAAGATGCATAAGATAATTGCAATGTTTTAAGATAAAGTAAAAAAAATTATAACTGCATGTATTCCAACATGTACAGTACATACTCCAGCATTTTGGAGAGAAAATAAAATAAAAAAATGAAAATAGATTGTTAATTTCTGGTTTCAATCCTTTAATTTCAGGTATAATAAGTCTTAAACAACCCACATGGTAGAGTAGTGGAATAAAAAAAAATAGTGAAGATACTAGATTGGAAGCTTGAAAAACAATATTAATGCAATATTGATTACCTGTTATTGATTATTGTACAATAGCATTTATTAGATTTCATTTAAAAACATGTACAAAATGTACTGTACACTGAAGACAGCAAAGATGAGACAACCCCCCACTACAAAGGAAGCTAAAGAGAGGTTGTTGAAACTGTGAAAGCTTTTGGAAAAACATTGCAATGACAGTAATGTAATGTGCCATATCATTGCACTGAATAACATGCTTGAAAAAATTGATGAGAGGAAGAAGCAACAGATGTTGATTGATCACTTCTTCAGTTTTAGTAATTAAAATTAACACATTAAACACAAGTAATCTTTTTATGAAATATTTATGGTAATGCCATAGACAATTTGAACTGAGCATTGAAAAAATATTCTACAATCACAATGCATTTCTTCCTCTCTTGTATACAAATGTATAAGACATGGGTTGGCAACCTTTCAGCAGTGTTGTGCCAAACATAAGTTATAATATTATTTCAAGTGTCATGATTCTACCAAGTTTATCATATATATTATCAAAATTAGTCCAGTATAATAGACTTCAAAAATGTATAATTTTGAAGTTAAGTTGTTAATTGAATTACGTTCTTACATGTGAAGTGCTTGCATAACACATAGATGGTGACATGGAGCATAAATGCATGTGCTGTAATAGAAATATACAAACAAGAGATTCATTTTTAATGTACCACAGCCTTTGCTGAACTATGACTTCTATTTAAATGTGTAATTAATAATTAAAATATAATTTTTACTACATTTCTATTCAATCAACCTGCCACTGAAAATCATCCTGCATGCCATAGGTTGCTGACCCCTGGTATAGGATATACAATTTGACTGGAAATAATAATATATTATAAAAAAAAAAAGGTCATTAATTAAAACAATGGAAATGATGGCTGGTGGTATTTTACATGTTTAAAACAGTTTTAAATATGTAAAATACCATCAGCCATTTTAATTAAACTATGTGTTTTTTTAATTGCTGGCTTGTCATCAGAGGACATTTAAATTAAATAACTACAGTCACCTCTAATAAAAGGTCATCTCTGCAAGGAAGACTGTTTGTTCCTGGTGATTGGACATAATGGAAGTATGAAGACATTTTTTAGTTTCTTCTATGCATTTTAAATCATTTTTCATTTTCTCAGTATACCTTATTCGGTCACAACAAACTTAATTTATTGCAGTACAGTGTGTAATATATGAAATAATTTATTTATTCTCCATTGTAATGTTATAACCTTTTTTCAACAGACTGCCAAATTTGTGATGAAACAAATGATAGTGCCTTAACAAGGTTTGGCTGTACATTAATAAAAATATTTTCTAATATAAGATTTTTTTTTTCACAATATTATTTTTCTCTGTGCATCACACTTTAAAGATCATTTTATGGTCAATGGTCAATTTCTGAAATTGTCTTACTTTTTCAAGTTTAATCCAAATCTGAATTAAAAAATAGTATGTTCCATTTAAAAAAATTTGAGTTTCAGCCTGAATAGGCCATTCCCAGTCAGTACAAGAAGTTGGAAAAAAAATTACCATTTGATAGAGTATACTCAATTTACTTACCGAAATCTTTTTTATAGTAAAACTTGTACACTCCTTTTAAAATGAAAGCAAGTGGTCTGTCACTCTATATAGATCAGATTTTGTTAAATTGCTTAAAAATATATGTATTTTATAACATGATTTTCAGACTAAATACTAATATAGTTAATATTTCATCTATAAACAAATTTATAGTTCTTGAAAAACCTTTACCTTTATATTAGGATAAAACAACTACAAAAAAAAAAAATTTGTAGTTGTATGCTAATATAAATACTAGTAAATTAATAATCCTTGAAGAATTTCAATTGAGATTTTTCTTATATTTAATAAACTGTTTTTATCTAATCTAATATCTTTCTGATATAATGCAAATGATAGATAATAAATATCATTAATTCTTATTCTTATTTGTAATGTTCAATACAGATAATACATAAAAACCTAAATAACTTACATGATCCCACCAACATTCACTGAAATTTGGCAATTGATGTTCCAATGTATATTCTAGAACTTCAAACATAATGCTTGTTACCATACATAGCCACCAATCTCGCAACATCAAAGTCTGTTTATATAAATGTATATTTTAAAAATATTGAAATATATGATTATTGAATAAATAAAATTACCCACTTTAACCCACCATCCTATAAAATGTGTTGGTACAAATATGTCCAATTTATCCTATTCAAAACAAAAAACACATACAAATTTCATTAAATATTTACTTTAACAATTTTAAAAATATACTTTAAATTTCTTACCCAAACATTATGAAAGGGATCTTGAGGCATATCTGGATCATAAATAAGGCAATTTCCTCCATAATTTCGCTCTGCCAGTGGTTTCCCTAATTCCTTATCGATATGTTTCAACAACTTTCGAGCATCATCTGCAGTCTGAAGTAAAAAGTAAGTGAATATACAAGCTTATGCCCATATAAAAATGTTTTCTCCAGGAAAAAAAATACTAATTTTATGAAATTTTTTTTTATTTTGAAAAATTAGGATGCAAACACACTTTTTTCTAGAGAAAAATATTTAAAAACAATGGTAATGTAGATAATATTATGAATATATAATAAATCTGTTGATTCAATTATTAATAAATATAATTTAAAAAAAAAAACACAGTAAGATTAATTCCTTGAAAATAGTTTTTGTTTTGTAATAAAACTATTTCATTCCTCCATAGGATGAAATATTTTCAGAACTTTATACTCTTAAACTTTTAAGGTTTTTATTTTATTGATTATAAAACTTCATAAATGATTGTATAGGGATCATAAAATTCCCAAACTCTGAATTTAAAAAAAAAGCAACAAGTTGCATAACTTTCCTGCCAAAAACATTTAAAATTGAGTTTGGCACCATTTGTTATGAGATTTCACTAAAAAAATTTTATATTATTAATTATTATAAAATGGCAGAAAGCTTAATTCTGAGGGTAGAAATGAGTTTTATAAAAAATTGTAAATGCTAATAATGAGTAAAATCTTTAAGTCCATCTCTCTCTATCTCCCCACCCCTTTGATCTTTAACCATCAAAATTTAACAGCATTAATCCCCTAATAAACAACCTTCCTGTAAATTTCAGAAATTTTGACAAAAGGCACAAGAGTTGTTAAGCTTCAAGATGGGTGAAAAAATCATCCCCCCACATAAACATCAATACATACAGAAAAAATCCCCAACTTTTTTGAATTTCTAAACATTTCAAGGTCCCAAGTCCAAAAATGTAAAAAATCTTGGGAGTCATTTTTTTGACTGATCACCACACTTCCTCTCTGTTATAACAGCTGAGAAAGTAAAATTGAAAAAATCTATATATACAGGTAACCCTTATATAATGTACAACAACATAATTTTGATATAAGATTTCATATGAAATCATCTGTTTATCTTATTCACAGTTAGAAATTTGTTTAGCACCATATAACAAACTTCAAAAACAAGATTCTCAATCTGATGAGTGATCAACAGATAAATCCAAAGAAGTTGAAAGTTATAGTAATATCTAAAAGATTTCAAGTGATGATGACATCTGTGTTGAGAAGATAAAAAAGGGAAGATAATAATTATTATTATTGTTGTTGTTGCTACTATTATTATTATTGTTGTTACTGTTTTAATCTAAATAATTTTAATGTTTTTAATTCTGCTATTTGTGTTGTGGATATTTCCCCACAGAGGGCGTTCTGGTTCCATGTATAAAAATAGAACCTTTTTGTGTCAGACATCTCAGCCAGAATCTCCATATCAGAGAAGGAAAGAAGAAGAAGAAGTGTCAGACATCTTTTCTTGCCTTGTGTGTAAATGAAGACATATGCAAAATAAAAGCTCAATAGTAAAGCAATAAAGTCTAGTTCTTTTGTCTTTGAAACATAAAAAAACTTGAACAATCTGGCCATTGGCAAATAAAGCATATCAATGAAATGTTGTTTCGGAAGATAGTAGTGAAGACAACAAAAATTTATTTTTTGTGTGCAGTAAACATTTTTATGTGCAATTCTTCATTTTATGAATTTTAATAAGTTTGTTTTTGTTTTGTAATTTATGTTTTGTTAAGTGGAATTTTCTGAATTAAATAAAACTTTTTTCTTACATGAAAATGATGATACAGATAAATGATGTTTTCTAAATATAAATTTTATATTGCAATATAAAATTTATATTTAGAAAACATCACTTAGGAATAAACATTACATAAAAAAGTGAGTTTGAGTCTGGCATAATGCAATAATTTATAACACATCATTTTTATGGAACCCTTTCCATAAATGCACTAGTGTTAACCACAAACATAAATATTTACTGTGTAGTAAATTGTTATTATTCTAATGTTTTTGATCTTAATTCAACTTTTATGGAACCTAACTACCATGTTACATCTTTATGTAACATGGTAGTTAGGTTAATAACAATTATCTATATATAGTTACCTGTATATATAAAGTATTTATATACTGTATATATATATTACTATACTGTATTTACAAATATATATACAGTATATATACAATCTAATAAATCTAAAGCTGGAAGCCTCAGTCTATAATGTGACTGATAGAGTTATCACCTGCTACAGACTGGTACTGACTGAAGTAACACAAACTTCATCCTGGAGCTTAGGCATCCCTCAGATATTTTCATAGTATGCAAAAAGTTTCAAAAATAGCAGTGTTTTGTAAATCAAATGTCAAAAAGTCTGTTAAGTGAAGTTTTTCTAGATATTTCATCAATCCAGGGGATATGGCATCCAAGGCCGCCTATTACAATTGATATTGGCATATTGGTATTGGAACTTAAAATAACAATTGCTAAATCTCTAGTATTTATTCAGTTTTTCTTGCTAGTTTTCAATAATCCTTGATCACCTGATTCTTTTTTAGATACTGTGATGTCAGGTTTATTATGATCCATGCGTTTGTCAGTTTGTAGTCTAAAATCCCAAAGTATCTTGACTTGTTCATTTTCAATCACTTTCTCTACATTGTGTTCATACTATACCAGTATCTTGCAACTTTGATAAGAGGAAGTAAAGACATACTGAGTGAGGCATTAACAATTATTTACTTTCACTAACACCTTTTCTAAAAAATAGGTAGGATGGAACCTCTTGTCACAATGGCCAGCCTTATGCATTTTTGGCTCAGAGAACAAACTGGACATGAAACATTGGAGGGGGGTCAAGACACCCAGTTAGGACCAATATCACATCTGGTAGGATTATGATTTTCCTCATTTTCTATAGGACCATTGGTGTAGGGCAAGGGTGGCCAACAGTTTTTGTCCCCGGGCTGAACCAGTTTTTGCCCTTTTTTCATGGGCTGAACCAGAGACTGCCCTAGGAAGATTTTGAGGTGGTGTAAGATCTCATTGTGGTGTCACCTCGTAGAGACTAAATTGTACATAGAGATTACAGATACATTTTTCACATTATCATGCTTTACCAACATTCTTTGCTGTACTTAAGAGATTTGTAATGGAGGATTAACTCTAAACACACAGTGAGTTGTTGAACCCCCTTTTTTTTTAGGCGTCAGAATTTTTCATCAAGCTATTCAGACTTCAGTAGCTAATATTGAAAGATTAATCGCGGGCCGCATAAATTTATTAGATGGGCTGGATCCGGCCCGCAGGCCGTATGTTGGCCATGCCTGGTGTAGGGTCTTCACTAGGATCGTGATTGGGAAAGAAACTCATTGGCTCTGAGGAGAAAGTCTTCTTCTTTACACAGCACAAATTTCTTACCCTTATCTAAGGCCAGAAGTCTCAAGTTGGCCCTGGTGAGGAAGAACATTACCATCTGGCAGTCTACATGATATTTAGACACATCAGATACTTATTTTCCATTACAAGTTTTGTGATTACCGATAATTCCATATGTAGATACATGACTGCTGCTTGGCAAGATTTGAGTGCTGCCACCAAGGACAGGTTCAACTGGCAAAGATTGTATTGGCGGGGGGATATATTTAGGGTCCCGTTGTAGAATCCTATGTACTGCATAAGGTATGACTTCATCCGTGTAATTGTAATATGGAATGTTGACCACCACCTTGTGTTGTTTGCAAGCTGAGCATACTAATCACTGGAATTGATTATCTAATTTCTTTTGTAGTACTTGCATGGAACACACTGGAAATGTTTATTTGGGCTACTCCATTTGAGTAGCCCAAATAAACATTGGATATGGGAGGGCTGCAATGGCAGAGATGGCATTGATGATAAAGCAGGATAATACTGACGTATTAATACAAAAACCTTATGTTTCAACAGGTAAGGTACTACGACTTGTATTGTCCATCACAATTTTGCTCAGGAGAACTCTTGGACAGCTGTTGTGGGCAGTACTTGACATCCAGAGTATCTCATTGCCAACCTGTGTGTCTCACAGGTATTGGTTGATAGGATATCAATTTACCTGGTAAGTATGTACGTCCCCTTTAGTGGGGATATCAACCACAGCCTAAATGTACTTGAATACAGTCTGGAGAAACTACAGGGCAAGGATGTTATAACAGGCATAGACACAAATGCCAAATCTACACTTTGGGGCAGCCCAATCTCTGATAAATGTAGTGAAAAGTTACTGGAGATAATCACTAAGTAGGATCTGACCATTTTAAATGACATAGGCTGGACCAATGTTCTCCTCTTGTATGGGAGAATTGTATAGGGACAACTTTACACAGCTAATATAAATAACAACATTACAAAGTGGAGCATAAGCTTTGATAGAATAGCCAGTGAAAACATAGCGTAACCTTCTTTAACATATACATAGGCACCAAGCAGCAAGATACACAAAATACCCTAGACTTCTATGAATATGATTAAGGAGAGCCAACTGATGTAAATTCAGAAATATGCTGCAGTGTTTCCTGTAGAATAAGTACTTTCAGATAATGGAAACCAAATATGATGAAATCAGGTAGAGCACCCATATTCAATGCAGCATACAGTGGGCTATGAGGAATGCAATTCCAAATCAAAAGAAAATCTTTCACCACTCCAAGATGGTGGAATGATCAGCTAAGTGAGCTGAAAAAAAATTAACAAGAAAACAGGACAGTTCCAATAATGTGAGAGAAGTACAAGCAAAAAAGAAGGAAATACTATGATAACATTAAGCTGGACAAAGAAAGGAGCTGGAAATCTTATGCTGAAAGTAGCAGCAAACTGTATCCATGGGAGATATCATATAAGATACTGATGAACAAAATAAAGAGGAGGCAGATTCTAACTAGCATAGAATCTAATGGGAATTCGTATAATTTATAATTTGGAACACCTATGTGTTCTATAAATTAAGCTTCAGTTTATATAAATTGAGTATGTAAAACCTGAACCTCGCCTGCTTCAGGTTTTGCATATATTATTGGATTGAATTAGTATGCAGAATTATTTTATGGTTTATTCTTGTATGTTAAACAAAACTTTGATATGGTATTCATGGCTGATAGTTTCATAAATCCTTTCCATTTGATTTTTTAATTTATTCTAAATAAAATTTTGCTTTGATGTAATGAAAACAACAAGTACAGAATAAATAAAAGGCAAGTTTTATTATTTCAATAAATTTATGCAATGTATGATAGATTTTTCAAAATTTTCTTTTCCTCAATGAAAATGCAGAGTATTTTCTTTTTGACTCTTTTCTGCCCTGTGGGCACTAAGAGGATTTTTTTTATCAAGCCTATAGTAGGTCCTCTGAAATCTCTTAGTTCAACTTTAATATAACAATAAATTGATAAATTTCAAATTCAAGCTGGACCAAATTTAGACTTGTGTTCCTAAGTTATAACATATCATTCTCCTCTACCAAATAATAATAAATTTAAAAATAAAAAGTTGCTCTAAGTTGTAATTTTCTACAATAAAGTCCTAGAATTCATTTAGATTGTGTGTAAATCAAACCCCAAATTTACATATAATTATTTATTTAGGTATACCATATATAATTCCCCATCATTTTGACAGACTTATCAACTGGTTTTAATATCTTTTGTTCTAAAAATCCTTATTTTTTTATTTGATATGAAAGATTTGTGAAAAACTACATAATCTTTCAAACTTAACTGATGCAAAAATAACTCACAAATTAGTTTATTTAAATGATTCTATAACTCAATTAACATAAAAATCAATTTAACTATCAAACTGAATATCTATAAACAAAATATTTATTTATTTGACGATTAGTTTTTATAATTGTGACTAATCTAACACTTCTCTTATCTAAAGTAATGATTATACTTCATATCAATAAAAACTGATTTATGTCACAATACATTAATACTAATGGCTAATTCTTGAATTGAACATTAACTTTTAATTGAATATTTTCATTACAGAGTTACATTTTAACTCAAATACAAATACAGTTTCTGTAATAAGAAAAAAACCAACTAGTTAAAAGCATTTAAATATTTTCAACCTGCTTGTTCATTCTTAATTGATTTATTTGTATTTGTCTTATCTCTAATGCACTATTTGATTTTAATAATGTTAACTCTATAAATTTTCTGTTATAAAATATTTTAATAAATATGATTATTTTCTGTAAGAAGATAACATTTTTAGAATTTTAGCATTTTAATCTATTGTCCTTTCATAAGTACTGAAATAAAAGAATTAAAAAAACAATAGTGTGTTTAAATAATATATATTTGACTTGTAATAACAACCAAGAACTGGATATAATATAATATTAAAAACATTCACGAAGACAGAAAATCCAGCAACAAAACATTAATTTAAGAAATGTTTAATAAAAATGAATATTTTTGAGAAACTAAGTTATCATCTTTAGGTTAAAATGTAATTCAGAAAATAGAACAAGGAATTTGAAAAGATTAATGTAGTGTATTATTTATTATAATAAGTAATAACTACAATAATGTGTGTTGGATACAACCAATTATTATTGGTTGTATCCAACACACATGACTGATGATGATATTTATGTATTTCTAAAATTAATATTTTACTCCTGAATTTTATTGTTTGGTGAGTGTTTTTAAAATTATATATTTGACTTTTTTCTATAAACCTGAGAAAAATATATGCCATTTTAGGCTGTATAATTTGATCTAGCAATTAACAATAAAACAATAATTGTTAACACTGATTTATTGTTAATAAAATATATACTGGTATTGATAAGCTGTGGGTGAGTAAAACCACCACAAATTTTGCTGAAGTATTATGAACATTCAAGATCTAAAATATAAAAATTATCTGAGTTAGCATCACATTATAATATTAAATACATGTTTTTCTTTTGTTAATCTTTAAAAGTATTATATATGTTCAAAAATAAATAAACTTTTACTAAGGCATACAATATAGACATAAACTACATCTCAAAATATAAACTTAAATTTTTTATTCAAACATTCTTTAATTATTAAAAAATAAAATTATATGGAAAATTCAAAAAATAAGGGAAAAAATACAAAAGAAAAAACTCAAAATCATTAAAAAGTAAAAAAGTAATAAAAAAAAGGGAGTTCACCACAGTCAACTCCTACCTGAAATAGAATAAAGATGAGAGCAAGTTCATAAACAATGCTGACACATAAGACAAATCTCCAAAGTGCTAAAAAAAATTTAATTTTTACATATAAATCTATGAATTCTTTTTAATATAAAAAATATAGGACTGATTGATTTGCTGAATTTTTTCAGACAATAATTGATATTTTTTATTATACATAAAAACATTTAATGGACAAATCAAATCTTGAACTCATTCAATAAAAATTATGAATGATTGTTAAAAATAATAAATTTCTTATATTGAATATAAACATTTATATAATGATTCTCATACAAAATGTTAAAGTTACATTTTCCCCTGAAAGAAATTTTAGTTGTTAGCCTGATGTTAACTAGCTGCTGCTGCAAATTTTATCGGTTAATGACAACAAAAACTCATATTATAACATCAATAATATACTAATTCTGAATATAGTTATCTTGATAATAATAATATGTAAAGTAAATAATAATAATAATATTTTTTAACTAGTCTGAAATAGTATTGATAATTCACTGATTAGCTAAAACTGGCTTGGGGAGAACACTGCATGATATAAAATGAAAAATTTTCAAAAACTTTGCTCTAAGTAGAATTAAGCCAATAATATATAGTGATTAATTTAATACACAATTTTTGATAAAAATTAGTGTAGTGCACTCTCATTAATACAATCTAATTCTTCATTGTTTAGATTAGTGACGAGTTCAAATTATAGGGTCATATGTATATGTGAGATCCAAGGGGTTAATTAAAATTAAAACATGAAATTAAGAAAGTGGAAAAACCCTAGTTTTTCTAACACCTGGCATTTCTGTTGCCTTCTGATCTGATAGATAAGTAACGATTGAATATCCTTACAAAATCAACAATCTTTACAATGTTTTGAGTAAGTTTCTATGATAAATCCAAACATCTAATTATTTATAAGGAAGAATGTCAAAATCAGTTAAATTATATGGTAAAAAGAGTCAGAACACCTGGCAAAAAATATCAACAACCCGGCCAAGTCATCAAATTGTTACGGCCCATATCAGCTGGACCAGTGACACATTGCGATCTTAGACCACATTAAATCAAAATCACCTGATTCTACTCCCACGCTCAGAGAGAATAAAAAGGGCTTACACCTGATTGTCAGAGCGATCGTCCAAAGAATTGTCTCCTCGCCAGTTGCCATACTGCAACTCCAAGAAGAGATGACAACCCTCTCTACCTGCATAATGCTAAAAGAGGTATTATGTTTGCCAATTTTATGTAAACTCTCTCTCTGTCTTTAGTTTGTAAGTAGATAGATGGTCACTCGGAAATTTGGTCCCTAATGACCCTCTTAACCAGACAACTGTTAAGTATTCTAAGTTTGATTGTATTCATCTCCTGTAATCCTTTATGCTTATATTAAACTTGTTATCTAAATGGTTGCTTTATCTCGTGTATTGCTGACACCTTATCAACAACCTCACTAACCTTTCCCACTCGCACTAACTAAAGCCATCCACTGATACCATGATGTCGGAAAAAGGGTGACGTCTCATGCCTCGACCCCTGACTTCTCACATATATATAAAGAGAAAAGAATTTTTAAAAATATATTTTAAGAATTATTTTTTTTAAATTTAATTTAAGTAATTAAAATGTAAATTAAAAAAGATATATATATACCAATAATATATACATACACATACATACACACATACATACATACATACATACATACATACATACAAACATACACACAGTAGATGTTAAAATATGTAGTATATATTAATTTTACAAATTTTTCATTTTGTTTTTAAATAATTTGTGATTTCTTTTAGTTTTTGGCTGGATCAATTAGAGACAAAAACTTTTCCACAAAATTGCCATAACAAGATCTGGTGAGAAGGTATCCCATTTTCAGAACCCTCTGAATCCAATTGCATCTCCTTGTTTAATTGAATTTCCTAAAAATCAGTTTTTCTTGATCATTTTTGCCAGCATCATTCAGTTTTGAAACTGTTCTGAAAAGCTTATAAAAAGAACTTGATAAAGCTTTGTTATGAAATGCTTATTTTACTTGCATTCATTTGTTATAATTAAACACAACTTAGGGAGAGGGGTCATCTGTTTGTGCAAATTGCTTTTCTTTTGCTAAGGAAAAGGCTATCATAAATAAATGTTAACAAACTAAACAAGTTTAAAAGTTAATAATTTTCAAATTTATTATCTTTAATCTTTTTCTTATATCTGGAATTGAATTAAATCCTGAATTTCTATCTCATTCTCCTCATAGACAATGTTGATCTCTCCAAAAATAAAAATTATCATTACAAATGACACTGATCAGAAGTCAAATTCAATGCTTACTTGGCAGAATATGTCAAAGATGAATATATCAGATGAAAATATTACAGAAATAATAGAGAAATGGTGGTGAGCTGGAATCTTTAAATTTATCACATAATAAAATTTCCAAACATAATTGGGATATGGAAATATCTGCTATTATATAAAGGAACTCAATTATTTCAAATAATTTTAAGAATTCGCAAATCACACCTAAATTCAAACTTTCCAGCAAAAAAAAGTAAAAAAATATAAAGATCTAACGTTTTTGGCCACTAAATTTATCGGCCATCCTCAGGAAATAGAATGGTTTTTTCAGTTTGTATTTCCTGAGGAAGGCTGATAAATTTAGTGGCCAAAAATGTTCAATCTTTATATTTTTTTACTTTTTTTTGCTGGAAAGTTTGAATTTAGGTGTGATTTGCGAACATACGGTTCCAGTTTATGGTGAGGTTGTATTTAATTATAAGAATATTTCTTATTTCAAATAATAAGAAAAAATTTAATGAAGGAAAAACTTTTAATCACTAAAACCAAATTTCAGTTTATAACTCCAGAGAATAAAATTATACAGAGCAGAAATCATAAATTTAAAAATGGAAAACAAATTGTTGCATTATAAACTAAGTACTATTATTGAATTGTGTATTGAATTAATATTAATTGTATTTTGTTATTTTGTTTCCCATATTCTAATAAAAGAGACAGAATACAGTTTTTTTTATCAATTTGCCAAATAAGTAAATAATTCCAAACTGGAAATATTTGTGTATCAATCTGATAAACAACTGGAACAAAGAAAAGGTTATTAGCAGAAATAACAATCTAAGTTTGATTTAAAAAATTTAGCTTATCTTTTCTATCAGTTTGTTAAAGATAACTTAAAATCTGAAAATTTAAAAATGAAAAATATTGCAAGGTGAAGACAATACAAAGTTTTTATTTCCATTCTTGCAATTATGGTACTTAAAAATCATAAATTTAGTTAGAATGAAATGATATTATACATTTATATGTTAAACCTGACAGACCTATGAAAAGGGTCAAAATTTCAGATTCAAAATTAATAGTCCATTGAATGTTTTTCACGTATATTAATAATCTCACATATACAATCAACTCTCGAAATTCCAGACAACTCTAGAATAAAGTGTAAATTGCTAATTTAATTAGCAATAAAATATATATATGTATACAAACATAGAAGTTTGTTTTATTACTACTATAAAAAATTGAAAAAGTTTGTTAAAATATAAAAATATTTTAAAAACTTAACTCAGGATCAATATTTCATTTTAGAGAGGTCTGAAGTAAAGTGTCAATTGTATTTAATATTCTAAAGTTAATGAAAATCATAAATATTACATAATTTGAAACAAGCAAAGAATATTTTATTTTTATTTAAAATTTAATATTTACACTAAAGAACAAAGTCCTGATTTGACTCCAAAAATCCATCTGTTAAAAACACTATGTACCACCAACTACCAGTGTTCAGTGGTTTTTATCCAATTAACCACTGGTAGACAAATGAAAGAAATGCTTACATACTAAAACATACTTGAAAACTCATTTGAATAAAATTTTATAAGAATATGTTTTCTAAAATATTTATACTTTTTTCATTAACATTAAAAAAATTATTTATTTAAGAAATGAATTTAACTATATAAAAAAGGGTTTCTAAAGAGCATAAAATTCAATTTATTTATTGAATTTTATGCTCTTTAAAAACATTTTTTATAGTTAAGAACAGCAATTTAATAAGAACAGATATTTTCAAAATTAATGCAAGAATAAAACTCAGAAAAAAAAAAACCAGAAATGTGGCAAACAATAAAAGAGCAGATGCCATTTATCATAATTAAACACTAAAGTACTAAAAACAATTGTTTGAAGTATATTTTTCTTTCAAAAAAAAAGTCAAAATAACTATTCTTTTTTAAAATGATAGTAAAAACTAAATACATTTATATTTTCATCATACTGAATTTTATCTAGCAATGAATTGTAATAAACTCTTTATTAAAAACCCAGAAAAAGTATTTATTCATTCATCTTTCATCAATTTCTCACTTTTTTATTCTCTATCTTTCATGCTCATTCCTAGTAATTAAGAAAACAATGAATTTTTCTTTGCTCTTTTTAGATATTACAGTAGTGTTCAATAGTCAAATATTTCAAATATTGAAAGGAAGATGCTATTTTTTGTAATTTTTGAGGTTTCTGAAATTTCAGGACTTTGTACTCTATAAAAAAATTTTTCATAAACTAACCAGGGTGAGGTCTGCGAAATGGTCCATCAGGAATTTGTGTCACACCAAGTAATAAAAATACCAAAATACAAGCAACTAATCCTCTGAAAATAAAATAATTTACAATTAATGACTATTATTTATTATAAGAAAAAATTTTAACTTTCATTTTTTATACTGTTAAATTAGTATACAAATTATTTATCAAATGATAATATAAGTTAACATCTTAAGTTACATTTAAAAATTAAATTTTATCATCTCATTAAACTTACAATTAAACAGGCTGATTTTTCTTTGTGACTTCTCTCTCCCTTCTCTGGCATATCACAATATTCACATTTTAAATAATTTACTTATTTGCTTATCTTTACAATATCATTCTTAATATAAAACTATGAGCACCAAATTTTGACTCTATGGTACACACTATTGACGTTATTGAAGCAAACACACAGAAGTGGTTATACATAGGTTTATTATGATTATGGTATGTCCCTTTTCAATTGTATTTGTTACAATTTGGTGAGTTTACAGGAATCTACAAAAATACAAGTGGTTTTTTCATTACAGACATTTAAGTTTATGATTAAAATAGTTTAAAATTACATTTTTATATGTACTTAAAAGGTACATTCTATTTTGTTGCGATGTGAGGATTTTTACAGACATTATATTGTTTTCCTGTAAAAATAGCAACCAAAGATTAAAATTGTTGCTTAATGAAATACACACTATAGTAGCATTGCTTCTGTAATAGAAAACATTGTTTGTACAAGCTGACTGTCTGCAAAAATGTATGTAACCTTTCTTAAAAAAGCTCTTACTTTTGTAACTGTAATCTTGTTTATAACTTTGTATTATGTTCATTTCCATAGTATGTACAGTACTTCACAATTAATTTCATTAAGCAACAATTTTAATCTCTGGTTGCTATTTATATGGGAAAACAATATATCATCGGTGAAAAATCCCACAAAAAAAGTCATCCACTCATCAGCAACAAACTAGAATGTACTTTTTAAGTACAGGTATGTATAAAAATGTAATTTTAAACTATTTTAATCATAAACCCAAATGTTTGTAATGAGAAAAACCATTTGTATTTTTGTAGACTCCTGTAAACTCACCAAATTGTAACAAATACAGCTGAAGAGGGACAAACAACCTGTCCAAAATGCATACTGTCATCATAATAAACCAGCATCTACCCACTTCTGTGTGATTACTCTGACTATGTCAATAGCGTGTGATAAGTCCACCATAGAGCCAAAACTTAGTGCTCATAGTTTCATACTGTAATATAATGATAAAAAGCAAATCACCAATCATTCTTAATGTTAATTCTTTTATTATTGCTTACACCAATGATATAAAATTCATTTCTCCATTTATTACAATTAGATCTCAGTGCTAAACCTTTTCATTAAAGTAACCAATCTTAAAATTAATATCTTAAATAAACTGTAACAATATGTTCTCATTAGACAGGGATGCACAACCTTTTGTGAAGAAGGGCCAAATTAGGATTAAGTTTACTGACTGGGGGCCGGACCTCCAAGCGATTAATGCGATGGCTGAGATTGGATGCTGGCGGCAATCTTCTTGATGTCTGGTGTAATGGCAGATGTTGAAACAACCAGCAGATTTTCCAAATTCTCTTTGGTTAACCTGTTCCGTGTTTTGCACTTGTTTAAATTCATAAGCGAAAACGCTTGTTCGCATACATAGGTACTGCCAAACATGCTTGCACAAAATTGAGCATTGTCTTTCAGTTTTGGAAATGATGTATCTGGCAGTTCTTTGTAGAATGTGAGGAGATTAGAATTTTTGAACTGTGATTTCAATTCATCACTGCACTGGATGTCTATCAACTCAAGTTGGACATCTGGAGGGGCATCTTCCACTTTCACATCAAATGGAGTTGAAAAAAGTTGCAGGTAGATCTTGTATTTCTGGAATTCACCAAACCTCTCATTGAATGATGTAAGGAGGGTGTTAACTTGGTCAGAGTAATCCATCTTCATATGTGGGTATTTCTCTTTCATGGCCTTGCAATGTGGAAAGTGTGTAAAGTTCTCTGATTGCATGTGGGACTTGAAAAGTGATAGTTTGGTCATAAATGCATTGATGTTACTTGTCAACTGAGAAACAAGTTGCATCTTTCCCTGCAATCTCAAATTAAGGTCGTTTAGATAAGCAGTAATGTCAGCAAGGAAAGCTAAATCACACTGCCATCTTTGTCCCTCCAAATTCCTTGTAGTGTTCCCCCGTTCTTTGAGGAAAGTGATAATAGGCCCCAATAGCTCCACAAATCTCTTGAGGACTGTTGCCTTGCTCAGCCAACGAACTTCAGTATACGTGGGCAGGTCAGCATAATCAGCATCTATTTCTTCAAGAAATGATGTGAAGAGTCGATGGTTGAGTCCATGACGGCGGATTAAGTTCACAGTATCATAGACATCTTTCAGCAGACGTTCAAATCCCAGCTTCTTTGCACAAAGTTGCTGTTGGTGAATTATGCAATGATACTGGACTAACTCCTTTTGCCTGTCCCCAAGGTGGTTTTTCAGCAAGGTGACCATGCCATTCTCACATCCAACCATAGATGGTGCTCCATCGGTGGCAATGCTGGATAGCTTGTCAAAGTCCAGTGCTGATTTGTTGCAAACGCTCAATAAACTAGTAAATAAGTCAGCACCAGTTGTATGTCCAGAAAGTGATGCCATGCCAAGAAATTCTTCATTCACAATAAAATCTAGTGAAACACTTCTAATAAACACAATCACTTGTGCTGTTGATGATATGTCAGTGGATTCTTCCACAGCCAAAGAAAAATAAGCACAGTTTGCAACTAAAATATTAAGTTGGCCAGAAATGTCTGATGCAATTTGCGAGATTCTTTGTTGTATCGTCATGTGGTTAAGACTGATTGTTTGAAAACACTGTCTTCTCAGGACACATCTCACTTGCGATGATAAGACACTTTTTTATCATATCGCCATCTGTGAAAGGTTTCCCATTCTTGGCTATTAAAGCAGATATTTCTAGGCTGGCTTCAACAGCCGCATCCAATTCTCCAGATTGTTTCTTGAACACATTTTGTTGGCTGATTAGTGATCGTCGTAACGATTCGATTTTCCGTTTGCGTTCCGTACCTTGCAGAAGGAAATCCTTGTGTTGGCTTTCATGATGTCGCTTCAGGTTGAATTCTTTTGGCACTGCTATTGTTCCATTGCACAAAAGGCAAATAATGCTGTTGTTCTGTTGCACAAAACAGTACTTGTTAGTCCACACTTCCACTTCTTGAAACTGATGATTCTCGCGATTGACCTTGCGTTTAATGCCCGGCGCCATACTGTTCACTCTGCAAAACAATGTCTCATTGTGCCGAAAATTCTGAGGCCCGCAACAAATCATGTTTGAGATAAGGCAAGCTAGACTACCACGTGCTTTGTTCTGTATCCACTCTGACCAAAGACTAAAGAGGCGGGGACAGAAGACTATTACGCACACGTGACAAATGGCCAGGCAGGTCTTAATTCGTTCGACCCCTGTCCGGGCGTCTCCACCATTTCTCAGAATTTGTGAGTCAGATCGTCAACATGCCAGGTGCAGGACACTAATCCATCATAAATGTGGTTACCATTCTTACCTAAATTATATTTATGGCCCGTCAGTTTTACCCCCGTGTTCAGAAATGAATCAAAAGTGATTAACGCGGTGCAGCGGAAAATCTGAATATTTTAAATATAATTATTAAAATTGCGATATCTCGTTTCAAATTGGCGCTAGAATCAATCTGTTTTTTGTTTTCTGTCACAAATATATCACAGTTTACGACTGTTAAATTTCAAATAAAATAAAAATTAAAAATAATAATTTAATTTTAAATTTACGAAAAAAAGAATGTAAAAATAAAAGTAAATAAAAAGTTCCAATTAATTTACTACTTAAATAACCTAAATATATCTGTTTTCTTTCAAACAAAAAAAACCGCAGCTTTCTAGCTACACGGAATCATTTTACAACCCTCTTTGTTGACAAGTTTATGGCTTGACGCGGTTTGTAATAATTATTAAATCCAAAATATTTTAATGCAAATGGCTTCCTTTTAGTCGTAATGACTCTATTCCAACTACAGTATTAATTTTCTTGGTCCAACTTAATAATAATAAATTTGATGTGAAAATTTTTTTTTCTATTCTTTGTCTATGGAGAGATATTGTTGTAAATTATTGGTTTTATAGCTTTTTGTACATTCCTTTTTGAACTCTGGTTAGTTTTTTTCTAGTTTGAATGACATTAGGTTGACAAATAAGCGTCTCTTCAGAAAAGATTGATTCAAATTCGACTATACCAATCAGAATCTGGAATGTAAACAAATGCTAAAAAATCTTTATTTTCATGGTTTTTCAGCGCTACTTTCACTTATTTTTGTTATTTGACGCTATTTAGACGAATAAGCAAGTTTTCCGAAGCATAAAATTGAAGATTTCCCACCAAAATAGAAACTTCCTGATAACATCGGAAATGACGTTCTAACATCATTTTATTCTATTTGATTCTTCAAAAAATCGTTATAATACTATGTATTAAATTTAAAATATTCGATATCTAAATCAGAAAGTGTTAGCTAGAAATAGACTTATTTATAGAACACTCCCCATTTCTCACTTCAGGGAAAGTTATAAAACAGTTGGGTGCTAATGACTTTGTGAAAGGGAAAAGTTCTATACTTAGAAACTTGGAAAGAAGGGATTTGGCCTGTACCGTCCGTGGGCCGCATAAACATTGATAAGGGGCCGTATGTGGCCCGCGGGCTGCAGGTTGTGCACCCCTCAATCATTAGACCATAATCCTTAATTTCCTTCTTTCTCTATTAACATACAATTATATTCATTCTACCAATGGCTTTCATATCTGATGAAAAATTTACTTTTAAATATAACATTGACTCAGTACTGAAAGAATTTACAATTTATAAAGACAGCCTTTAGTGCAGGGGTGGCCAACAGTTTTTGCCCCCAGGCTGGATTGGAAAGAGAACTTTTTCCACNTGATTTCACAGATTCGAGACAGCTTGGTAGACTGAATGGCCCCA